CCACCTTCCACCTCCCACTTCCCACCTCCCACCTCCCATCTCCCACCAGCTACGTTCTTGATCTTAGCATCCTGGGCTATGGTGTTTTTCCTGAGGGCAGAGACTGTGATTACTAGTCTTCATCACTGGGTCTATGTGGCTTTTCTTGAAGTTGAGACTATTTCATTATGATTCACAAAAGTGGAGGCTCTGTCCCTTCCTCTCCCTCCCAAACACTAATTCCAAGCTCATGGTGCCCATTCCAGCCTCTGGACCATAGGAGGTACTCAGTGAATAATTGTTGATTTACATTGTTAGAGTGCCCCCTATGTAATCTTCTATTGCAGAGATTCTAGACATAAATGCTGTCTCTTTCTTGGCTATGTCCCTCTGCATCTGTCCCATCCTTTCCCTTCCCTTCCCTTCCCTTCCCTTCCCATCCCTTCCCTTTCTTCCCAAAAGAGGATGTCCTTCAATCATGACACCTCCGTTGGCCTTCATCCCTCAGCTCCAGTCTTGATTCTGCTGGTCCTCTCCTCTTATTCTACATTAATTCCCTGAAACCTCAATTTGCTTCCAGGACTGTATTGAGCTCATCAGTATTTTCCATATGCCTCCTCTCTGCCTCACCCTTCACCCCCAAGTTCTTGCTCACTGATTCTTGGACAAACTCCAAGTTGCCCCAAAAGACAAGAAACTCACATTTGAGGGGAGAATCAGCAGGTGGTCTCCATTTCTGTCTACTCATCTCTTTCTGTGTCTTGAGAAGTCAGTGGTGCTAAAGTCCCTTCTCTATCTTCTATCAAAGATGCTGACCCAGAGAAAGGTACCCTCTGAGCTCTGCCAGTCACCTTTCCCTGCTGGAAAAGAATGAGATGAAAAAACGGAGGTGGAGTTAACTCAGAAGGAGAAGTCTACCCAAGAATTGCTATTCCCGTTCATACTCACGAGTTTGGCTTGGTCTGGTTGTTCTTATCAGGGAACAAGGAACAACAAAAGGGAATTGAGAAATTTGGTCCCCAGAATTTTTAAAGAATAAGAATGTTTTAAATGCACACATTGATTTTGATGAATTGTCATTTTTTTTGTTTTTTACTTTTACTTTATTATATCTATACAGTCTTGCAAAATATGACGTTTTTATGATCCTTCAGCCTAAGAAGGAGGGGGAAAAAATCAAGAAAATCAGGAGAAACCTGAAAGGTCAGTTTGGTGTCTAAGGGGTGAGAATGTTGCCGCCTTTGGTGTCAGGCAGACACGCATGTGATCCGCAGACTTCTGTTTCTAAAAAAAACCATGAAAAATATATTAAAGACATGGTTACAAAATGTTGTTTGTCCCCTCCCCCCCAGGGACAGACAGTACATACTTGGTAGTGGAGAAAGGATTGAATTTGGTGATATTTGAACTAGGCTTCACAGGATGGGCAAAACATTAAAGAGTGAAGTGTTAGGTCTGAGCCTGACTCTGTCTCTTCAACACAAAACAACAAGAAAAGCACCAAATAAAGCTTCCCTCCTCCCCCCAATAATGGGAAGGCAAAGACAAGGAAAACTGGTAGAGAAACTGAAAAAGAAATGGAATAAAGCAAGAGGCTCCAAGGCTAAAGCTTAGGGTATATCTATGAGAAGGGGACGAAAGGAGCTGCAATAATGATGGTGTCATTGGGCTCTGGTGTGTACCCAGAGGGCCTCAGGTGGCATCTCCAAGTGGAAGATGTGAGGAAGAAGATGGCATCTGCCCATGTGGAGGATGCCAGGGAGCAGCTTCTGGGAGAATCATGAAGATGGGAAGTGCCTTGGAGAGAAAGGCTGTAGACCATGGGTAGATATTCCATAACTGGTTCCATTCAGCTCACCATGTGGTGGGAAAGAGGCTCTCTGATTGGTTACAGAGGCCTTCAAAAAAGTCTACCAAGTTTAGCTACCATCTCCTTGTCCCAGCACTCCCCCTGCAGTAATCATTGTGCTCTGTGGGGTAGCCTAAGGGCTTTGTAAGAGGGCTGTTATGCCATGAAAACATGGAAAGCTTTACTCTAATTGATACAAAGTGAAATAAAGTGAGCCAAGTAAACAAGGTACGAATCCACTACAGTGGATTACGCTAGTAGTGTAAATGGAAAGAGCAACCACAGAACAATTGAAAATGAATGTTGTGAAATTACAAAGACCAAGCTTGGCCACAGGAAGAGATAAGAGAAGCTGTCTCCTGACCCCTGATCCCTGCCCACTCCTCTGAAGAGGAGACAGTCCATGGGTATCAGTGCATATGTTTTCAGGGTTGGGTTTTTTTTAAAGAAATTGTTTGGTTTTGCTGTCCCCTCCCCCCTTTCTTCTTCTTTGTTAAATATGCAACAAGGACTGGAACGTGCCCAAAAGACATCAGAGTGTCTGGTGTTGCAGATTCCCCATGCGGGAGAGACTGAAAAGCCTGCTTCCAAGAGCTTTATGATGATGCTGGAACATGTCTAGGCATTCTCTAATCAGTTCTGGTTCACTAACCTTGTGTCTAGAGGAAAGCTGTTCAACTAGGAATACGTCATAAAGTGGCCATCAGAGCCTCAGTCGCTTTTCCTTCGGCTACTTTTGTGGTTTGGTTCCTTTGCCCATGGTGTCCAGTGAGGAGCGATGCTGTAAGGGGAGAGGCTGTGTCCTTTTCCCACCAAGGCAATGGGGCCCTGTGAACTGGACCACAGTATTTGACTCTGCCTCGGTCTTTTTGTTCTAGGTAAAGAAGGTTAATCTGAAGTCACTGACAATGCGAGTTTCCAAAGATCAGGACACTGAGCCTACAGGAATCCCAGAGTGATAGACCATGCCGAGTTCTGCAACCAGAGGAGCATTGATGGCCTCAGAAACAAAGAGTGACCTTTTAGACCCAATCCAGGTGAGGTAAGGATTCATCCTGCAGTCATGCCATATCTGGATATGAACTTGATGGGGTCAATATTATCTAAAAACTGTGCTGTCTCAGCCTACCCAGATTTGTGTGAAGCTGGGCAGAGTATACCCCAAAGTTGGGGGAAAGTGTCTGTACTTCGTTCTTACTATATATTTGAAGTAATTATCCCTTTATAAAAGCTAATTGATGTTAAGTAAATGGAATTAGGGATGCTACTCACTGGTGCCTAACAGTGAGGGGAACAGTCAGTGAGGGTTTGAGATTATAGCAGTAGAGAAGATGTCCCTAAACTTCTCATACTACCACCCCATAGAATCCTGGCTCTGGAGGAATAAGCTCGGGGAGGGGGCGGGGCGGGGGATATATTGTCATATATTTGGGATGGCTATCTGGGAGAAGAAGGGATATGGGGGGAGGAATTTAGGCAATGTTATAAAAAAAGGTATCAATAGAAATTTATGTTAAAAAAAGAGATCATTGGTTATTTTGGAAAGAATAGTCACAGTTGAGTGGTATAGTTGGAGGCCAAAGTTTAAGGGATTGAATGAGATGAATAAGAATAGAGGAAGCTCGCACAAGGAAACAAGACATATTCTTTTCAAGGAGTTTGTCTATAAAACAGAAAGGAATTCTAGGGTTAAAATATAGCGTTGAATATAAGCAATAGCTAGAGAGAGTGACAAGGTACAGCAAGGAATTTTTTGTAAGGATGGGAGGGAACAGTGGGGATCAGACAACTGGTAAGAAAGAGATTGAAGGGGACACTTTGCTGGCAGTGGGTTCAGGATCCCATTGCATTGCTCATACACAGTTCCAGGTCATGGTCTCAGGGCAAAGAGGAGCACCACTGCTCATGGCTGCAGGAGAGCAGAGGCCCTGGTCACAGTTCCAGCCCAGAGAGGAGTATTTGTGGTCACTCACAAGGGATCAAGGGCCTTGGTCTCAGTTCCAATGCATAAAGAAGCACTAGTGCTTGTGGCTACAGGAAAGCAGGGGAAACTGGTCACAGTTCCAGGAGTGCTGGCACTTGTAGTTACAAAGGAACAAGGTACCTTCCTGGGTAAAGACCAGAAGACAGGCCAGGAGAACAGTGCCCACACTTTTCCTTAGAAGGACTGAAAACTTTCAGTCCCCCAGAACTAGATTGGAAAACAGCAGAACAAAAAACCTTGTAGCAGTGCCCCCTCCACCACAGGAGCAAAGCTAACTTTAACATAAAGTTAAAAGTCAAGAAATAGGCTGGAAGAATGAACAAAAAAACAAGCACAAAAAACACAAAACCCACACATAATAAAAGAACCTGACAATAAAAAGTTACTATGATGATAGAGAAGAGCAAGACACAAACTCAGAAGACAATGATGTCAAAACAGCTACAAGCAAAGCCTCAAAGAAAAATGTGAATTGGTCAGAAGTCTAACAAGAATGCCTGGAGAAAGCTCAAAAAGGATTTTTAAACTTATTTAAGAGAGGTAGAGGAAACATTGGGAAAAGGAATAAGAGTGATGTAAGAAAATTATAAAAAGAGAGTCAACAGCTTGATGAAAGAGGCACAAAAAATACTGAAGAAAATAACACCTTAAAAAAACAGAACTGGTCAAATGGGAAAAAAGGCACAAAAACTATACAAGAAAAGAACTCCTTAAAAGTAGAATTGGCCAAATAGAAAAAGAAGTACAAATTTCACCGAAGAAAATAATTCTTTAAAAATTAGAATTAGGCAAGTTGAAGGTAATGACTCCATGAAACACCAAGAAACAATAAAAGCAAATCAAAAGAATGAAAAAATTGAAGAAAATGTGAAATATCTCATTGGGAAAACAACTGACCTGGAAAATAGATCAAGGAGAAATAATTTAAGAATTATTGAACTACATGAAAGCCATGATAAAAAAAGAGCCTAGACATCATCTTTCAAGAAATTATGAAGGAAAACCACCCTGATATTTTAGATCCAGAGGTTAAATAGAAATTGAAAGACTCCACCTCATGAAAGACATCCAAGATAGAAATTCCTAGAAATATTGTAGCTGAATTCTAGAGTTACCAGGTCAAAGAGAAAATATTTCAAGTAGCCAAAAAGAAACAATTCAAATATCATGGAATCACAGTCAGTATCACACAAAATTTAACAGTTTCCACATAAAAGGATCAGAGGGCTTAGAACATGACATTCCAGAAGACAAAGAAGCTAGTATTAAAATAACCTGCCCAGCAAAAGTGAGTATAATTTTTTTTGGGGAGGGGGAATAATTATTTAAAATGAAATAGAAGATTTTCAGGCATTCCTGATGAAAAGACCAGAGCTGAATAGAAACGTGTATACAGAAATTACTATGCATAGGACACAAAAAGAAGAGCAACTAATGTTCCTTGCCTTCAAGGGGACTGCATTTTCCCATAGACATATAGCATGCAATAAAAATCTAAAGAGAAAGAAATAAAATCTGCATTGATTGATAATTGAGCCTATGGAAGCTAATAAGATTATTGAGGGAGGTCATCAATAAAGAAAAGAAGAGGATTCAGGACAGAGCCTTGGGGTCACCCACAGCTACAAGATGGGACATAGAAAATCTAGCAAGAGAAACCAACATGCTTCTACAGGTAGGGGAAGAACCAGGAGAGAATAGTATTGTTATTATTATTGTTATCATTAATTTATTTATTTTTAGTTTTCAACATTCACTTCCATAAGCTTTTGACTTTTAAATTTTCTCTTCCTCCCTCCCCAAGACAGCATGCAATTTGCTATAGGCTCTACATATACATTCTTATTAAACATATTTTCATATTAGTCATGTTGTAAAGAAGAATTAGAACCAATAGGAGGAACCACAAGAAAGAAGAAACCAAGAAAAACAAAAGAAAAAAGAGCAAATAGTATGCTTCAACCTGCAATCAAATTTCATAGTTCTTTCTTTGGATGTGGATAGCATTTTTCATCATGAGACTTTTGGAGATGTCTTAGATCCTTGCATTGCTGAGAAGATCTTAGTCTATCAAAGTTAGTTACTGCACAGTGTGGCTGTTATTGCATACAATGTTCTCCTGGTTTTGTTCACTTCACTCAGCATCAGTTCATACAAATCTTTCCAGGTTTTTCTGAAGTTTGCTTGCTCATCATTTTTTTATAGCACAATAGTATTCTATTACATTCATATACCACAACTTGTTCAGCCATTCCACAATTGATGGAAATCCCTTCAATTTCCAGTTCTTTGCCACCACAGAAAGGGCTGCTATCAATATTTTTGTGGGTCCTTTTCCCATTTTATCATCATAGCCCTAGAAGTGGTATTTTGGGGTCAGAGGATATACACATTTTTATAGCCCTTTGGGCATAGTTCCAAATTGCTCTCCAGAATGGTTAGATCAGTTCACAACTCCTCCAACAATGCGTTAGTGTCCCAATTTTACCACATCTTCTCCAACATTTATCATTTTCCTGTGTAGTCATGTTGGCCAATATGACAGGTGTGATGTGGTGCCTCAGAGTCATTTTGATCTGCATTTCTTTAATCAATAACAATTTAGAGCATTTTTTCATATGACTGTAGATAACTTTAATTTCTTCCTATGAAAATTGCCTGTTCATATCCTTTGACCATTTATCAATTGAGGAATGACTTCTATTCTTATAAATTTGACTTACTTCTCTATTAATATTATTATTTTTTTTTTTAAAAAAGGGAACAGAGAATACCAGAGAGGAAGTAGAGAGGTCAATGGTGTTGACTTCTGGGCAGATATAAAGAAGAATGAGGATTGCAAAAATGTAATTCAGTGATTGGTGATCTTAGAGAGAGCATTTCATTTGGGTGTTAGGATAAGGAGTCAGACTACAAGAAATTGAGAAGTTAATAAGAGGAGAGAAAATGGAAGCAATGAATGTAAACAGTTCTCCCTGATACCTCAGAACTTGGCCTTGCCTCTGCCTTTAGGAATCAAGGTCAGCAGGCCTATTTTTCCTAGCTTAGTATTTCCTTTCCTTAGTATTAGCCCTTCATCATGTGAAACAGACACTTTGAACACTACTGTCTCTTTCATACTTCCACACATCAGCATGGTGACACTGTAATTATCTCAAGTTTTTCCTCCAAATCAGTTCTCTAACTCAACATTTGCTTAACTATGATCAAAAGCTTCTTATCCAACATCCCCCCATTCCCCCATCAATCTACCAACTTTATATTCTGCTCTCACAAAAAGCTGTAATCATTTAACCTCCACCCAGTTTACCTAGTGTGTTAGCCTCCTCTTCCTCAGATATTACTTGCTGTGTGACACTGGGAAAGTTGCTTAACCCATCCTGGTCTCAGTTTTCTTATCTGTAAGATGAAAATATTAATAATAGGACCTCCCTCCTAGGGCTGTTGTGAGGATAAAATAATATTTGTAAAGTGCCTTGAAAACCTTAAAGTGTTATATAAATGAATTGTTATTATTATCATTATTATTATTATTATTAATTATACAGGATTCTTGTCCCAACCAGGAGCAGCAGTTCCACACTGACTTCTTCAGCAATATTACATCTAGATTCTTTTGATCTAATACTCTTCACAAGGCTGATTGAGAATTGGTAAAGGAAACCTTCCTCACAATTAGAAGTACCTCAAAGTATGGTGGGCAGCCTCAGGAGGCCAGCCATGGAGGACATTACTTCCTCTCCAGGATAGCTGGACTTTTAGAGAGGAAGGACTTACTTCCTCATTGCTGCTTCAAGAAAAGACACACATAGTTCCAGACTCTTACCGGGAAGAGACCCATGGACATCAGAAAGCAAACAGAGAAGCTGGATCCTCAACATATCCCTAATTTCCTTAGTCTCTCTCAAGATTTTGAGATGGAGGTCTCTCATTCCCAGGGGGAGAGTTCATTCACTCTATGTATTGCCCATATTCAGCCCATATAACTTCTCCAATTTCTATTTGTTATTTGCTTGTATAAGTGAGTATATTTGCTGTTGACTATTTATGATGGTCTTTTGTACAACTGAAATTTGGTGGGAAGAAGTCAAGTCTGAATAGAAGCTTAGAGGAACCTGTCCCTTTTAAAAGATAATACTCAAGAAAGTGGCTTGAATTTAAAAAAAATTCCCCTAGATTAACAGTGGTGTGTGTGTGGCGGGGTGGGGGCACTGTGAAGCTTAATATAATTCTAGTCTGGGACTCCTTTTTATGAAAGAACAGCACGGTTATCCTACAGCCTCTTCTCTAGGCAGGAATCAAAGTCTCCCTTAGAGCTGCATGGGTAAGATCCCAGAGATATTTATCCATGCTTCCCAGAAGCCACATTTATACAACCCATATCTATACACATACCCCTTACATGGGCAGCAGACCTACCCTGCCAATTCAATATCCTGCCATAATTCCTGAAGCCTAGTGAAAACCAATTTGACTGGTACAGCCTCAGCTTCACCCACACCCCAGGATGCCATATGCCAAGGTTAAAAAACCCAGAGACTGGGCTCTAAACCTCCTCTCCCTTTTGAACCTCTTGAGGGGATGTGTCATTAGGATTCAGTTCCCTGTGTCCCTGTCCCTCATTCCTCACTCCTCATTGGGCATTTTAGAAAACACCCTCATGATTGAAAAAGAAAAGGAGCTAGGTCAATTGATAAAAGCAGTTTCCAGAGCTTTAATGATAGTGAAACTTTCAGAGATCAAAGGCCATTGATGAGCTTGATTTAGGGAGTAGAAAGCAATGCTTCTGAGCCTTACTGAAAGGATTCAAAACAGAAGTGGAGCTGGTGTATAGTTAGCTAATTATACAGGCATATGAAATATCATGGGGTAATAGAGAGACTGTCACAATCAAGCAGGTCACATGAATGTTTTTGTTTTCCAGTGCATCTAAAAGTTGTTTATACTATACTGTAGTCTATTAAGTGTGCAATAGTATTATGTCCAAAAAAATGTACATGACAATTTAAAAATACCTTATTGCTAAAAACAAATGTTAACCATCATCTGAGTTTTCAGCGAATAGTAATCTTTTTGCTGGTGAAGGGTCTTTCCTCAATGCTGATTGCTGACTGATCAGGGTGGTGGTTGCTGAAAATTGGAGTGGCTTATAAGACAACAATGAAGTCTGCAGCATCAATTGACTCTTCCTTTCACTTGAACACTATAATGCCATTATAAGGTTATTAATTGGCCTAAATTCAGTATTGTTGTGTCTCAGGGAATAGGGAGGTGGGGAGGGGGGGAAAGAGAGAGAGAGACAGAGACTGAGACAGACAGAGAGACAGAGACAGAGACAGAGACAGAGACAGAGAGAGAGAGAAGAAAAGACAGAAACTGAGAGACACAGAGAGAAGCATAGCGAGAGAGACAGAGAGAGACACGGGGGGCGGGGGAGGACTGCAGGTGAGTGGAGCAATCAGATCACATACAACCCTGAACAGGTTTGCCTTCTTATATGGGTGTGGTTCACGGCGCCCCAAAGCAATGATAATAGTAACACCAAAGATCACTGATCACAGATCACCATAACAGATCTAATAACAATGAAAAAGTTTGAAAATGTGACACAGAGACATGATGTGAGCACAAACTATTGGAAAAATGGGGCAGATAGACTTGCTGGATGCAGGATTGCCACAAATCTTCAATTTGTAAAAAAAAAAAATGTAATATCTGTGAAGCACAATAAAATGAGGTCTGCCTGTACTATCTACTGGTGCTGCCTAACAGCTTAGAATAGGAAAGTTAGGGGATCAAGGAATAGTCCAACCAGATTAGTTTATGGGAGTCAATAATTAGACATATGGGATAGGCTCTGGGGAGTACAAAGACACCCAGAAATTGCCCTGTGATGATCCATTTGGAATGGCTCCTGAGTTGATCCTGTCTGTGCTTTTTTGCAAAGGGTGGCAAATATCCCCCCTTCCATAGGATGTCCTCTGCAGGCACCGGAACCTAGAGAGTGGCTTTCCCCAAATCACTGAATCATGTCAAAAGCTTTTAGAGATATAGTATATATTCTATCACCAGATAATAAGGTAGAAAGGACTGGAGGGGTCACCCAGTGACCTACTCTGGTAAGAAAGGTGGGCAAGTGAAGACCTTTTCCTAATCAACGAGAAACCATCTTCTGAAGCAGTGCTGGGTTTTGCCTTGTATTGGGTGAAGGGGGATCATGGGGTGAAATCTCAAGTCTCTCCTGAAGCACTGAGGCAAGAGGTAATAACCCTCATACTTCACATTAGTGTTCAACCTCACAGGGGTCTAGATGTGTAACAGAAACAGAGCTCACTGGAACCTCAAAAACCCAGCAAAGAAGGCAAAGAATATGTTGCTGTCCCCCTTTGATGTATGAAAGAGGTGAGTATACACATTTGGGCCACTTGTTACACAATCAAACAAGAACTAGGACCCAAATCTTCTGATTTCTAGCCCAGAGTTCATCTCATTTCCAACCTGACATAGAGAAGACAGTGCTAGTAGTACTAAAATGGCAGCAGGGTCCTGGATATCTCTTCCTCTGCATTGTCCCTGTTCTCTTTGTCCTCTCTCCTCAGGGCTGATGGGTCAATCGGAAGTGTATTACAAACTGAGCACAGCAACTTTTGCTGGCAAACAGATGGACATAGGATTCCTGCAGTTTGCTAAGAGATGCTGATGAAAGAGAAAGTGATCATGCTGCCTAACCCTGTGAGAAATATTCCTATCAGCTGAACCTCTTCAGAGGCATAAGCAATCTAAAGCATTCTTCCAACCACACAATGTTCACCATTTGCTGATCCTTGGAGCTTCCAAGTGAAACCTGTGTTCCTAGCTGCTCTAACTCCTCGGGTCCAAAGGAAAGACCCAAGTGGTCTGGGGCAACTCAAGGGCGAGACACAGCAGTTGTTTGTGTCCTTTTCTCGGGCTTGGAGAGGGAACTGAGGATGACCTCAGCTTCAGAGGCCATGGTCTCCTTCCATTCTCTATTTCATGTCTAGAACCAAGGCTTAATATTGGGAGGGACCAAGGGGAAAGTTACAGATATCTAGCTCCCTTCTCCTCTCTACTTGAGTAAACGTCTTAAGTTTCTAAATCAGGAAGGGAGCCATCCCCCACCTCAGTTGGGTCTAATCTCTAAAATTAGCCTGCTCAGCACCCTGAGAGGATACAGCTGCTGTGCAGTGAGCGGAAAGAAATGCTTCCTCTTAATCTAGACACTGCTGCTATCTCTGCCCCTACATCCCAGGCAATCCAACCAACATCTATTAAGCTAGGCGTTTCAGTAGGAGAAGGACCTTCTTGACTGGGGATTTACCAAAGAAAAAGCACCAGCAGGGCTGCTGAAATGAAGCAGTGAGTATACTCAGGGAGTTTACATTTTATAGGAAGTCTGCAACATGTATACATAATAGTCAACACAAACTGAATTTGGATCTGCCACTGGGGACACTGGGTTGGCAAGGTATCAAGGGAAGAATCTTCTGACATGAGTTCATGAGCCTTCAGGTTTGGAGGGACCATGGTTTCAAGATCTCATTCTGGGGCAGCTAGGTGGTGCAGTGGATGGGGCACTAGCTATGGAGTCAGGAGGACCCAAGTTGAAATCCAATCTTAGACACTTACTAGCGGTATGACCTTGGGCAAATTACTGAACCCCAATTGCCTCCAAAAAAACCCAGAAAAGATAAACAAAATCCTATTCCTTCAATGAGCACAGAAGCTAAAAAGCAAAAATTAAAGACTCTTGGTGGTTAAGGCAAACAGTCACCACCTGCCACTCCTGATTGCTACTGCTGCTGTTGCTGTGATGCTCGTCAATGAATGAGCTGGGGCAGACCCTGGAGAGCTGAAATGATCAGTGGGGCCCCACTGTTGAGGTGATGAGATGGAGCAGCACCCAAAGTAGAAGTCAGTCAGTAGTAGGCCTGGCAACCGCCATGGCATTTCCAGTGAGCTCAGGTTGGGAAACTGAAACCAAGCCCTAGTCCTTGGGTTACAATTCTGAAGCTCCAAACACATGGTCCCTGCCCTTTCTTTCTCCTGAATTCCTAGGAGGGGGAGGAGAACAGAAGTAGGTGAAGTCACTCCATTCTAACATGTCCAAAAATATGTGTGTGCCCACCATGGGGAGAGCCTGGGGACAGAAACACAGCAGGCTGGTTGGATTGAATCAAAGTTTCCCAAACAGAGGGTGAGAATGAGCTAAGGAGAAATGTCCCATCATTGACCAATTCTGTTAGAGTGGGATTTCTGTTTTGGTTACCCCCAGATCAATACAGAATTGGCTCCAGCAGTGGCTCCTTTCATGTCACCATTTCTAAAATTGGTAGGCAGTAGGAGGCAGAGCAGTGGTGGAAGAGCTTGTGTGACCCTCTGGTGAGCAGTGGGGACACTGTAGCCTGTGGGGAAATGAGCCAATGAATGGCTGCCAGTAAACTTGAATGTTGGCAAAAATTACGTAGGACATTTTCTTGCTGGTGGATTTGAAGCAGTTAATTAGCTGTTGCTAGTTTGTTCTTCTGTAGTCTCACAGAAGGCAGGATGACGAGATCAACGTGGGCTGCTGTTGTTATCTGGATACAACTAATAACCAGGAACGAACCAATGTGTGCACATAGTCTGAACCTTGGTCAGTCAGTCAGTCAATTGGTCCATGAACATTTGCAAAACATTTACTATGGGCCAGGCAGCAGGGATACAAAGGACAGAAGACAGACTCTGCTCTTGAAGAGCTCCCGGTCTGATGGGGTAGACAGCATGCAAACAGCTGGGCTGAAACTAGTCAACAGAGAGAGAGTGAGAAGAGCTTTTTGTAGATGGTGGAATTTGAGCAGGTGTTTGAAGGAAACCAGGGGGCTGAGATGAAAAGGAAGAGTGCTCCGGGCCTGAGGAACAATCAGAACAAATGCCCAAGGTTGAGAGATGGAGGTCTTATTTGAGGGGCAGGAAGGAAGGGCTGCTCACAGACTTCTTCCATCTGGTCTTCTTCTTCTGCTTTTCTTCCTTACTTTTAGCTCCTAGTGAAGCTACTCATCACCTTATTTTTATAATACTATAGTAGCCTCCTAACTGGTTTCCTGCCCTTAGCTTGTAGCCTGCCATCCATCCTGCACATACCACCAGATTCATCTTTCTGTAAGTTGACTTGCAGAGGTAATATGGATAAGTGGATAGACAACCAACTTTGGAGTCAGGAAAACAAACAAACAATAATAATAATGATGATAATAAAATTAAGTGTTTACTATGTGAGGGGTACAAAGAAAGGCAAAAACCAGTCCCTGTCTTCAAGGAACTCACAGCCCAATGGGGGAAGATAACACATACAAAGTAGCTTAAACGAGTGTGGGGGTGAGAGAGTGGCTTCCTGATACAGGGGCATAATGAAGTCCTGAGAAGGATGCACGGTAGGGAAATGAAAAGATGTCTGTCCTGGGCACCCTCCTTCAATGGAGGATTTGGAAGGAGCTCTCCAATGTCCCCTGTTGACCCTTTCCAGTCAGAGGGAGGGAGGAGCCCCAGGGGCAGGGGGGTACTGAGGAGGTGGGAATTTCAGTGTTGATTCCATTATGTAGGAATATGAGATTGGGGAGGGCTGGAAATGATGTGGTCAAGAATAGTGCAGAAATGGGAAGAAATTCTTTCAAGTCTTGACTGAGAGATAGATACTGGTTGTGTGACCCCAAGCAAGCTCCTTCACATTAATGTCTTCCCCATTGCCCCCAGCATATGAGTTCCTGGGACCCCGTTTTTTGGCAGGGGGACTTGTCTTTATATCCCTGAGGTTGCTAGGTTGTTTAGGAAATTCTTGTTGACAGACTGGCTGACAGACCACTTCTCAATGCCCCAGATAACTCTAGGAAAAGACATTCACCTTCTTTGAGTTCTGGACCCCTCTCTTCTCAGAATCATGGTTTTTAAATTTTTATTTAGTATTTCATTTTTTCCCAGTTACATATAAGAATAATTTTTAACATTTATTTTTAAAACTTTGAGTTCCAAAATCTTTCCCTTCCTCCCTCCCCACGCTACCCCCATTGAGAAGGCAAGTAATTTGATATTGCTTATAAATGTATAGTCATGCAAAACATTTCCATATTAGCCATGTTGTGAAAGAAAACATAGACCAAAAAAAAAAAGACCTCAAGAAAAATAA